TTGATAGATTCACTTCCAGTTTTTCTGTTCTTTGCATGTGAGTGGGAGCCGATCAGTAAATGTCCTTTTAGGTGTTTCTTTCTTCACTTGTCAAATGTCAAGATAATTGAAGTCAAAAGAACCCTCCCCCTCATACTGTATATTTTTCTTTCTGGAAATCATCCTCTTAAGTCATTTGTCCTTGAACAATAAAGCTACATCAACTCATTAACATATTTGTTCGTACCATTAGACAAGGATCTCAAAAACAATGGCTGTATAAAGGGTTAACTTGGATTTGAACCCATGTTAGAGATGACTTTCTGTTTATGTATATCCATCAGGGTGGATATACATAGTTGTCATGTGACGTAACATATCTAGGGGCTTCATTACTGGCCTTTATATTTGAGGGTACATAAAAGCCACCCAGGCAAAGCTTAGTAAGTTTTATTAATGAGGAATATTATTGCATAAATCACTATGGTTGTTTTATGTTAGGTTAAAGATGTTCCTAACATGCAGACAGTTTAGCAAATTTCGGTTTCCAAAAATCTAGAACTATGAAGAACCTTAAATGGAGTATTTTTAAAGCTAAACACGGGCAGTTTTGCTTGTTAAAACAAAGATTTTATTGTTAAACTAGTCTTAGAAAAAATAAACTGCACTGATTACACAAAAAAAAAAAAAAATTCCATGTAAATCAGAAATTTGAAACGTATGACGTCTTAGTTGAGTAATTACATCTTTTTTAAATGTTTGCTGGCCATACCTTCTGCAATATTCTGCCACTGTGCTTTTATAGTTGTAGGCCCATAACTATTTGTATAGTTGTGTGCCTACGTAGCAATTTGAAAACAACTTCATGAGTCTGACAACAAGAGAGACACAGTGACAGTGTAAAAACACATCCCCTTTTGGAAAAATACAAAGTAAAATCCCTGAATTGCAAGGATAAACAGTGGGGTTTACTCCACATAGGTTTGTCTGGAAACAAATAGTGCATGTAGAGCTAGAAGGGTAAACTTACAGACATACATACAATCAATAAAATGTATATAGTTTTAAAAGTGTACTAAACCATGTTAGAAACTCATGATTTCAGAGGACAGATAAAAAGAAGACAAAGCATGTTTATTTATAGAGCACGTTTATGTATCAAGCAAATAAAAGAACTATGCATAAATAGAAATAATAAGAAAACATACAGAGAAATGCATTTTTTGATGGCATAAAGATAATTAAATAGGTAATTAAGAAGTATATTTCGGTGGCATAAAGACAATTAAACAGGTAACAAGTATTGGAAGTGAATAGAAAAGAATTATAAAAATGACTTTTTTTTAAAGGAATTTTGAAATCAATGACAATAAAATAAAAAAAAAAGTCAAAAAAAACATCAATCTTTTAACTTCTGTAGCAACCACAGTTTTACATGCACTAACCCCTTGTTGTTGTTAGAGATATCCTGTGCAAACTGCTGTGAATAGTCAATATTCTTGTGTGGTCCGTAGAAGAATGCAACCAGAATCAAGAAAAAAAAAAAAAAAAACATGAGTCAGACACAGTAGGTGTGTTCTGGCCTTAAGACTATATAACCGTCTGTGTGCTTAATTACTCTGTTTATCATTTAGACTCTGCTGTAGTGTTATTTACCATAAAACTATTAAATAGTATTAAATAATAATTACAAACCCTGTATTTACCACTTATTTTAGCATTAGTGATACTGAAAAAAATGTAGTAATACTGTGAAAAAAAAAATTTTTCAACGATATTTAGTGAGAAAATAACTACTGTAGCTTACTTACTTTCAGTTAGCTAAGCTGAAGTAGCATTTATCATTAGGTAAACTTTATTATTTGCACTTCAGTTTGGATGTCCTTTACAAAGTCAATAAAACATTGATTATATGCTCCAATCTATTTCAGACCTCAAAATGTCTTTTATTTCGTAGCTAGTCTTTGTGTATACTAAATAATTAACCATGTCAAAATAAAAGCTTGTTTTATAAAGTTGCATAAAGGGTCCCACAGACTTGTGCAGACTAATGTCTGTGGACATCTGCATAGAGCCATAGAGTCTTACCTACTCTGTCTGTCTGTTGCTCTGACAGATGCATTGGGTGCTTCGACGAAGAATAGATTGTGCGAGGTGCCTAATTAGACTTTGTTTCTTTGTTTTTGTAAACATAGAAGGCAACTTGTCAAATGACACCAAGGCAGTGTGGGAAATAAAGACATTTGCCTTAAGAAATATTAGGAATAGGAAATGAAGAAGGCTGATACATCCTTATGGACTCATAGGATGTGCTCAGTCCATGCAGGTATGTAGGAGCCTTTCATCCACCTCTTTTAGGTCAACCTTAACAGCACAGCAATGATTTTTTTTTCTGGATCTAACTTTCATCTTACTTCAAGTGTATTCACTTACAAATTGAAAGTCTATCTAAAAGGCACTGTGATCCTCACTGTCTAGAGCTCGCCTGTAAAAGACAACTCAACCTAAACTAACATTTGGCTTTTGCTAATAAGATGTATACATGTATGTAATATAGTGTTGTTATATGCCCAAGGTACTATTTTAACCCTTTAAAAAAGATGTGGTAATCTTATTTTATTTCTGAAACTGTCTGTTTGCCCCATAATTTTTTTATTGTTTCTACAGCAACTGATTTTGAATCAGTTTTGGCTCTACTGTTATTCTGATGCCAGCCACAGAAACTGATGTGAGCAGCTCTTCCTGTGGGATCTAAAACCGACTCTGTCTCCCACATTCCTCCATGGCGAATTGTTTACTCTAAACACAGAACATATCTGTTACAATTTAATCAAATCTACATATAAAGTATCACTCAAAACTGCATCTTCAGAATGTATTTATAAGCTTTGGAACCTGTACAGCTAACTAATTTGTATGCTGGGTTTATTCACAGAACAGTCTTCCACCCCCTTTTCAAAAATGTCCCCAATGTCCTAACCGTAGAGTATGAGAAAAGACACTGGGGGAAAATAAATAAAGCTCAATCAGTTGCATTTGCACTACATTCACACTTTTACAAAAGAAATATTATGGTTCAGATTACATTTTAAAAGAAAAACTGACTTTTCTAGTCCAGGCCTTAATGTGTTGGCAACACTCCTAATGTGGGTTTGCCGCTGAACAGAAGGGAAGATAGAGTTGCAGCTAGTGCACAGATCCATGCATACTTTTTATACAATAGTAAAATCCTGCCACAATGGACTCTGGACAAGCAAGTTCTTAGGGCATGAAAGCAAGTAACATTTGAAGTGAAACATTTAGATGCTTGCGGTTAGTGCAAAGAAAAGTCAAATTAAAATTTAATTACAGTACAGTAAAATTCCAGTTCAGATTTTTGGCCACATCCTTCAGCCCTACAGTGTCCTAATGCCATTTGTAAAAATAAACAAATCCCTGTCAGGAATGAAAAGTGTTCTGAGCTAATAGGAATGACTTAGCAGTATCCATCTTGCTTCTATACAGCCATTTCCCACCCCATCCCTGTATGGTGAGTCCCATTGTTCAAGCTCAAGATTGCCAGTGTGCTGTTGCTGACCATCAGTTTAAAGTATATCCTTGATATTTTTGTCTCCATTTAATGTGGTACAGCTGTTAATCTGCCATGATTGGTGCCCTAGCTTACTAACTTATGTTTTCAAAGCAGGCTCTGCTGTTGGGGAAGAGCTACTGTAAAAAGCAAGGGCTGTAGATCAAAAAAGTGCAAGGGGTAGGGGTCTGTAAGGGGTGTTTTTTTTCTCAGAACTGCAGATTAAAGTCATAGGGAAGTCATATTTAAATAAAGTTCAGAGC